CCACTCTTAATTTATAAGACTAATTTAGTAATAAAGTCTCTCTAGGCTAATAATTACTACTACTTATAAGTATTTAAGCAAAGTTAGACATAGAGTATACATGGAGATACCTGGAGAAGGTTTCGGGGGGTTAAAGCCCCCGTGGCCCGGTCTGTGACCAGGCCTCATGGAAGTGATCAAGAAAGACAGAGCTCAAGGTTATATCAGGTAAGTGAGCTTTTGCATATGGAAGTGGGGAAGAGCAAACATGAATTATCGGGACTTCTCAAGGAGGGAGGGAGGGAGGGAGGGAGGGAAAAGTAAGATGTAAGGTGAACGTCGAGGTGACGTAAATTAAAGGAGGCCAATAGAAGCGAATATGCAGAGGAAAAGAGGGTAATAAATGGGAGCGATAATTAAACAAAGAAACTTTTAAAATACCGACACAATCTTTATTGACAATGTGCGAAACTGCCCATGAGTTTCGGTTGAAAGTTTATCGAAACTCAAAAAAAAAAAAAAAAAAAAAAAAAAAAAAAAAAAAAAAAAAAACGATAGTGAATTCCTTGAGGAAGAATGAATGCTCTTTCATGGAATAAGTATTTTCTAAGTATCAGTATCCTCATCACTTCATCAGAGCTTCCAGACTCAGTGAACGTAACACCTTCAACTCACCCAGACATGATACCGCAGAGGGGAAAATATGTAGTCCTCCTTACTAACTCCATTACCAAACACGTCTCCAACATACTTTCCTATACCGCATTGCAAACATCTACCACTGCAACTACCACAATCAAAGACATCATTAGTAAGGAACACGACAAGGTTCAATCCTCTGCAGGGGTATATATAATCCCTTGCAACGATTACAACCAAATATACAAGGGTGAAACATCCAGAGACATCCAAACACGTATTTCGGAACACCAATACACCAGCAGAATGGGCGACTTTAAGAACGCCTGTATTTTACACCGAAATTCCCACAAGCATTTATTTAACAAGAGAGACGCAAGGGTCAACACCAGGGAAGACACCCGGAAGCGCAGGACCTTGCAGCCATTACTTATCTGCATATGCAATAATTTCAACCTAAACAACGGCTTCTACAATATAGCTGAACCTCTTGCCAGGAAACATCTTTATCGTTTTCCTATATAGCAACAGATCATAGGCTGCAGGAACACTGCAACAGACATATTGGTCCATGCTGGGCAAGTCCTTCTCAAATTCAACCTCTTCTTAGCTGTCAACTTCAACATTCCTCACCTGACCCTTCACACCAGTACACTCCCTATATATACACATCTCTCTCTCCCCAGGTAGATTTGTTGTGGGCTTTATAAATGTGGAAGGATCGTGAAGGTGGTGAGAATGGACAGAATAACGGAGACAATGAGCATCGCGTCGATCTTGCAAAGATGGGATATTCGCCTCTGTATATTGGCTGGCATCTGGGGAAGAACGGACACAGACATAACCAGTAATGGTGAATACGGTGATCACCGTAGTCTAATCTAGGTAAGATCAGGGCGGAATGAAGGTAGAAATTTGTGCGTGTATCACCCTTTCTCCTCCTCCCCCTATCAAGAAAGACAGGCTAAAGTTTTAAGGAGGTTCATGCGGCTACGACAAGCCGCTTTCCAGGACTTTCGAAGATAAAAAAGACTGACTGCCTCCCATTCAGGGATGCGGGAACCATACAAGTATAGACCAGTCAGAGGGACAAGACATCTTGTGAAAGTAAACTAATGTGTTTTAGCAACAGAAAATTTAAACCCTATGAAAGGTTGTCCATTGTGTAGCAAGATTAACAGCATTCTGGCGAGAGGTCGCTACAAGGCGACAGTCATCGCCTGCACACGCAGTAGTAATATCAGTGACATAAAAAGACGACCAAATATTGGAAGGGAGAACAGATGTAAGGTCATTAATAGCAAGCAGGAACAGGGTAGTGTTAAGAACACAGCCTTGAGGGACACCTTCAGCCTGGGTGAAGTCAGGGAAGTTCCCTCTGGCAAAATCCTTAAGAAAAAACGGCAGATTGCCCCGAGGCCCAAAATATGGGCCGCCCGGGTGCGTAACGTCCTGTTGGTATCATAAACTTTCCGAATCAAAAAACACTCAATAAGGAGTGATCGATAGGGAAAAAAATTTTCGAAATAAGAAACCAAACGTACGTTCGTGCGTGCTGCGTGCGGGGTGTTGTGTTTTCTCACCATTGTACTCACCTAGTTCTGGTTGCGGGGGCGAGTTTTAGCTCCTGGGCCCCCCCCTCTTCACTGATTGCTACTAGGTCATCTCCCTGAATCGTGAGCCCTTTTTCTTACCTCTGCTTAAAGATGATGGATCCTGCCTCCACTACACGCTTCCCAAACTATTCCACTTCCCCACACTCTGTGACGAAGAAATACTTCCTAACATCCCTGTGATTCATCTGTGTCTTCAACTTCCAACTGTGTCGCCTTGTTGCTGTGTCCCATCTCTAGAACATCCTGTCTTTGTCCACCTTGTCAATTCCTATCAGTATTTTATATGTCGTTATCATGTCCCCCATATCTCTCCTTTCCTCCAGTGTCGTGTGTGTGCGTGTGTGTGTGTGTGTTTTCATCACCACCACTAATTTTACCATCATCACTATTACCACCAACAGCCTGATCAATCAGGTCAGCAACCAGGAGGCCTGGTGTGGGACTGGGCCGGGAGGCAGTGACCTCTGGAAGCGATTACAGGTAATCTACAGGCTACAGGTAGCCATTCTCACCACCACTGCCTCTCTCATCCGCATTAGTACATATGCAAATCTATGTTAAAAAAATAGTAATGTAAGTCAGTCAGTAGCAATGTCTGAGACTGTTAAGTCAGTCAGACTGGATTAGATTTACAATTCTCTTAAAATTCTCTATGAAAAAAAAAATTATTTTGTATTTTTTAGGAGAGGCTAATTTGATAAACATTCCAATGATTCCATCTTATTTTTTTTTTAACTGAAGTGACAAATTTTTCCAGAAATAAATTAAACTGATAGCCATTATTCTGGCCGTACTTTGTATCAGCCATTAAATAATGAAGCTGCAACGATATTGGAGTTTCCTTGCTTGAAGGTTTGAAGCTACACCACTGAGGGTTTTTGGGAAATACTGGAGTCATTCCAGGGTGCTGGAAGTGGTTTCAACAACTTCAGTTACAGGGCATCAGCAATGCCAATTGTTCCACGAATTTGGCCCTTGTTACCGTACACAAGCGTTCAAAATTTGAAGCTTATTGATACGTGAGATACTTATGCAACACTTTGGTATCTTCTCTCTGGAAACGTTTCGCAAGCCAGTGGCTTCTTCAGTCCATTCAGACAAGAACGGTGGAAGATGAGGAGTTTGAGGTAATCAGTCCTCAGCCTGGAGTCGATATTCAGTCCATCAATCTTGATAAAAGTGCAGCACGTGCGTGGAGATGGGACTTATAGGTGAGGTGAAACAGCAGTAGGCGGCGTCACTGGTGAGATATCCACTAGTGGATTACGCCTGTAAGTTTAGGCAAACTTGAACGAGCAAAAAAGAAAAATAATATAATCTAGCAACTGCTTCAACAGGAGTGCCATGAATGAGAGTGCCATGAATGAGAGTGCCATGGATGAGAATGCCATGAATGAGTGTCATAAATAAGAATGCCATGAATGAGTGCCATAAATGAGAGTGCCATGAATAAGAGTGCCAGGAATGAGAATGCCATGAGTGCTATGAGTGCCATGAATGAGAGTGCCATAAATGAGAGTGCCACGAATGAGAATGCCATGAATGAGAGTGCCATGAATGAGAGTGCCAAGAGTTAGAGTGCCATGAATGAGTGTGTCACGAATGAGAGTACCATGAATGAGAGTGCCATGATTGAGAATGCCATGACTGAGTGCCATGAAAGTGCCATGAATGATAGTGCCGTAATTGAGTGCCATGAATGAGAGTGCCATGAATGAGAGTGCCATGACTGAGAGTGCCATGATTGAGTGCCATGAATGAAAGTGCCATTATTGAGAGTGCCATGAAAGTGCCATGATTGAAAGAACCATGAAAGTGCCATGATTGAGAGTGCCATGAATGAAAGTGCCATGATGATTGAGAGTGCCATGAATGAGAGAGTACCATGATTGAGAATGCCATACACACACACACACACACACATATATATATATATATATATATACACACACGCACGCACACACACAAACAGCACTCGCACACACACAAACAGCACTCGCACACTGAAAACAATTGGAGGTTAGATGGTTGTCAGTCGACACAACCAGCTAATTGGATCTTCGCTGGAACTAGCTTACCTCTGATAAGCTGGGGTGAAACAATGGGCCTCTGTGTCTCGATGTGAAGATCAAAACACCGAGGTTTTCTCTCACTAGAGGATGGAGGTGTGACAAGATGAGAGGGTGGCTGAAAGACATTGTAGTAAGCGTGACAAGGTGGACGGCTGACAGGGTGATGGGGTGGCAGTTTGGTAGGTTTTCAAGTTGCCAAGGTAGTAAGATGGCTGTATAGCATTTTGGCAGGGTGGCAGGGTGGCAGGGATGTCGTGACACACGGTGTGAGGGTTGGCAGTTTAGTGGTGTGATTCAGGTGTTTGCTTGAACCACGTGCCCACCAACGTTGAATCACGTGCCCACCAACGTTGAATCACGTGCCCACCAACGTTGAATCACGTGCCCACCAACGTTGAACCACGTGCCTACCAATGTAGAGTCACGTGGCCACTAACGCTGCGCCACGTGCCTACTAGCGTTGCAACACAATACCTGTGTCACAAACGTTACAGAGCTGACTTGTACATGCATATTGTTAAAAGTGAATCGTTAAAACCCGTAGCGAGGGAGGAGAGGTCATAGCGCCTTAGTTATGGTACGTTATCAAGATTGGTGCAAGGTGCGGACAGTTCCAATTCCTGACAACACGGCACCATCGTTGAAGGAAGACTGTACAGAACACTAAAAGGAGTCTGTGTTAGCGAGCACCCACCATGGTAGGGTCTGTGGTTGACAGCGGCGAGGCCAGAGTCGCTACAGAGGCTGGACGGGGTGATGTTGGAGGGAGAACCCGAGTCCAGTAGCACCTTCAGCACCTCCTTGGCATCCAGCTCCCTCTTGAGGTGGTCCTTGGAGGCGAGTGCAGGCGGCGAGGTCAGGTGAAGAACGGCCTCACCTCTCCCACTTACTTCGATCACTACAGACACTCCTCGGGGCGGTCTCCGACCAAGGTCTTCCGGGTCTTTTTCATCTGCGGGTCATGCACAAATGGTTATTTTTATAAGTGGATTATTTTTATACATATACCGAAGTAATTCAGTTTTCCTGTTATCCCTTCCTTAAACAACCCCCCCTCCCATTCCTCTCCCCATCCCCCCCCCGCACCAAAAGTTAGTTGGCTGGGTTATTCAGAACAGAGGACTCACAGGTAAGGACCCAATAGGGGCGAGGGGCAAGTGGGGACAGCTCGAAGAATAGTCGGTGAGAGGAATGAATGTCTTGAGTCGAAGAGAGAAGAGTCAGGACTAGACCCAACAGACGGAAGCAGACGGAAACAGCAACACAAAAAACAGGAGAACACTCAGTCGTCCGGCTGGCAAGCTATCTGCATCTTGCATTCTTGATGTTGATTGGCGGCTGGCAGGAGCTGGAGGCGTGGTCAAGGGAGGCTAGCTTCTTGATTGGTCAGGTGTCGTTAAAGTGGGGAGTCAGGAGTTACATCAAAAAAAAGGCAAATCACGTGTATCGCTAAAATATAAATATATAAAATTTTATAAATAAATTATATATATAATATATATATATATATAAAATATATATATATATATATATGCAAACAATCGCAGACGGGTGATCTTAACTATGCAGGACAAGCCACGGGAGGGGGGTGGAAATCTTTAGCTTAAGTACTTTCAACACTTCTCAGTGCGTCATCAGGAGCTGTGCAATGTGCAAGAGAGCAACCAAAACAGGGAGAGAGGTCTCAGAGTAGCGTAGGTGTCACTAGCCACGGTGACACCTACGCTACTCTGAGACCTTTCCCCTGCTTTGGTTGCTCTCTTGCAACATTGCAAAAGCTCCTGATGATGCACTGAAAAATGTGAAATACTTGAGCTAAAGATTTCCCCCCCGTGGCTTGTCCGCATATATAATATATAAAATTTTATATAATATAAATATATATAAAATATATATATATAAAATTAATATATATATATATATATTAATTTTTTTTATATTATCACACTGGCCGATTTTCCCACCAAGGCAGGGGGCCCGAAAAAGAAAACTTTCACCATCATTCCCCTCCATCACTGTCTTGCCAGAAGAGTGCTTTACACTACAGTTTTAAACTGCAACATTAACACCCCTCCTTCAGAGTGCAGGCACCCGTACTTCCCCCTCTCCAGGACTCAAGTCCGGCCTGCCGGTTTCCCTGAACCCCTTCATAAATGTTACTTTGCTCACACTCCAACAGCACGTCAAGTATTAAAAACCATTTGTCTCCATTCACTCCTATCAAACACGCTCACGCATGCCTGCTGGAAGTCCAAGCCCCTCGCACACAAAACCTCCTTTACCCCCTCCCTCCAACCTTTCCTAGGCCGACCCCTACCCCGCCTTCCTTCCACTACAGACTGATACACTCTTGAAGTTATTCTGTTTCGCTCCATTCTCTCCACATGTCCGAACCACCTCAACAACCCTTCCTCAGCCCTCTGACAACAGTTTTGGTAATCCCGCACCTCCTCCTAACTTCCAAACTACGAATTCTCTGCATTATATCACACCACACATTGCTCTCAGACATGACATCTCCACTGCCTCCAGCCTTCTCCGCTCAACATTCATCACCCATGCTTCACACCCATAAAGAGCGTTGGCAAAATTATACTCTCATACATTCCCCTTTTTGCCTCCAAGGACAAAGTTCTTTGTCTCCACAGACTCCTAAGTGCACCACTCACCCTTTTCCCCTCATCAATTCTATGATTCACCTCATCTTTCATAGACCCATCCGCTGACACGTCCACTCCCAAATATCGAATACATTCACCTCATCCATACTCTCTCCCTCCAATCTGATATCCAATCTTTCATCACCTAATCTTTTTGTTATCCTCATAACCTTACTCTTTCCTGTATTCACTTTCAATTTTCTTCTTTTGTACACCCTACCAAATTCATCCACCAATCTCTGTAACTTCTCTTCAGAATCTCCCAAGAGCACAGTGTCATCAGAAAAGAGCAACTGTGACAACTCCCACTTTATGTGTGATTCTTTATCTTTTAACTCCACGCCTCTTGCCAAGACCCTCGCATTTACTTCTCTTACAACCCCATCTATAAATATATTAAACAACCACGGTGACATCACACATCCTTGTCTAAGGCCTACTTTTACTGGGAAAATTATTTCCCTCTTTCCTACATACTCTAACTTGAGCCTCACTATCCTCGTAAAAACTCTTCACTGCTTTCAGTAACCTACCTCCTACACCATACACCTGCAACATCTGCCACATTGCCCCCCTATTCCACCCTGTCATACGCCTTTTCCAAATCCATAAATGCCACAAAGACCTCTTTAGCCTTATCTAAATACTGTTCACTTATATGTTTCACTGTAAACACCTGGTCCACACACCCCCTACCTTTCCTAAAGCCTCCTTGTTCATCTGCTATCCTATTCTCCGTCTTACTCTTAATTCTTTCAATAATAACTCTACCATATACTTTGCCAGGTATACTCAACATGACTTATCCCCCTATAATTTTTGCACTCTCTTTTATCCCCTTTGCCTTTATACAAAGGAACAAATGCATGCTCTCTGCCAATCCCTAGGTACCTTACCCTCTTCCATACATTTATTAAATAATTGCACCAACCACTCCAAAACTATATCCCCACCTGCTTTTAACATTTCTATCTTTATCCCATCAATCCCGGCTGCCTTACCCCCCTTTCATTTTACCTACTGCCTCACGAACTTCCCCCACACTCACAACTGGCTCTTCCTCACTCCTACAAGATGTTGTTCCTCCTTGCCCTATACACGAAATCACAGCTTCCCTATCTTCATCAACATTTAACAATTCCTCAAAATATTCCCTCCATCTTCCCAATACCTCTAACTCTCCATTTAATAACTCTCCTCTCCTATTTTTAACTGATAAATCCATTTGTTCTCTAGGCTTTCTTAACTTGTTAATCTCACTCCAAATCTTTTCTATTTTCAACAAAATTTGTTGATAACATCTCACCCACTCTCTCATTTGCCTCTTTTTACATTGCTTCACCACTCTCTTAACCTCTCTCTTTTTCTCCATATACTCTTTCCTCCTTGCATCACTTCTACTTTGTAAAAACTTCTCATATGCTAACTTTTTTTCCCTTACTACTCTCTTCACATCATCATTCCACCAATCGCTCCTCTTCCCTCCGCACCCACTTTCCTGTAACCACAAACTTCTGCTGAACACTCTAACACTACATTTTTAAACCTACCCCATACCTCTTCGACCCCATTGCCTATGCTCTCATTAGCCCATATATCCTCCAATAGCTGTTTATATTTTACCCTAACTGCCTCCTCTTTTAGTTTATAAACCTTCACCTCTCTCTTCCTGATGCTTCTATTCTCCTTGTATCCCATCTACCTTTTACTCTCAGTGTAGCTACAACTAGAAAGTGATCTGATATATCTGTGGCCCCTCTATAAACATGTACATCCTGAAGTCTACTCAACAGTCTTTTATCTACCAATACATAATCCAACAAACTACTGTCATTTCGCCCTACATCATATCTTGTATACTTATTTATCCTCTTTTTCTTAAAATATGTATTACCTATAACTAAACCCCTTTCTATAACAAAGTTCAATCAAAGAGCTCCTATTATCATTTACACCTGGTACCCAAACTTACCTACCACACCCTCTCTAAAAGTTTCTCCTACTTTAGCATTCAGGTCCCCTACCACAATTACTCTTTCACTTGGTTCAAAGGCTCCTATACATTCACTTAACATCTCCAAAATCTCTCTCTCTCCTCTGCATTCCTCTCTTCTCCAGGTGCATATATATATATATATAATATATATATATAAAATATATAATATATAATATATATATATATATATTAATATATATATAATATATATATATATTATATATATATATACCCTGAGAAGTGCATTTCTCTCAGCGTATGTATTCTCAGTTTACTTTAATTCCTCTTTTAGGGATTAAATTTTTTTTTGTCTGGCGATGAAAAGGTTACTGAGAGTCTTAATGACTCCTTTAGCCAACCGAACAATCATCTCTCACTGTATATTCGATGATGTATATCTCTCACTGTTATACCCCGGGAAGCGTGTGTTTTTCAGTGTATATACTCTTAGAGGTGTATGTATATCTTCCTGTATGTCGATTCAGAATTTAATTTAATGCCTATATTAAAAGTTAAAGTATTGTAACTGCGGTTGTACTGCAGCTTCAGTGATCAACCTACTATGAATACATCTTAAACTTAAGGATGTATTGTATTATATTGCATTTCACAAAGCTCTAAACACTTGTGGGATATTCAGAGCCGTGAGTGATGGAGGCTAGACCCTCCGTCCGTTAATCGTGGCGTGGTCTCTGGATGTACCACTAGTTAGTGTGTCTGCTGTTGTCTCCTTCCTCTTTTGACGGATCTTCTGAATTTTCTAAGGACAGTGTAAAAAAGGTAAACGACATACAAATAATATGTACCTCTGTACATGTAACGCACTGAAGGGGGCACTTCCGTACCTACCTACTTACATTTCGAGTAGAATCGTGAATATGTAAGCAGGAATTCCTAAGTAATGAAGAAAATTCCATGACGTGTAACCTAGACTTATTGGAAATCACGTGTGATCAGCCAATAATTCCTAACACCTAGTCAAAACACACACTACCGGTGGTTGGGGGGAGGTTATGTAGGTCTAAATACTCCACTTTAGAATGGCACGTCCAACTATTCCACCCAGTGTAAAGTTCGTCTGAACTCTCCTTCAGAGGTCAAGAACATATAAACACTGCCTCAGAAGTATGGTATTCCTAAACACTCCTTCTGAAGCTACACTTCCTCAGAGGGTGCCTCTAAATATCACCGTGCTCACCTGTGAAGGGCAGTGGATACTGGATCTTCTTGAGGGAAGGTCTGACTGTGAGCGGAGCAACGACCAGCTTGGTGTTAGAGGGTGATTGCGGCCCCTGGTTGGTACTGCTACGACCGACCACCAGCCTCGAGCCTAGCAGCGACACACGCAACCATCTCCAAGCTCTCATCATGAACACCTGAGGCATGAGGAGAGGAAGGTGGGAGGAACATAGAGGTAAGGAAGAGTGGAAAAGGAAGAAAAATGTAGACGAGAGAGAAAGGTAGAAAAGAGAGAGGGAGAAGTAAAACAGGAGAACCAAAAAAGAGGAGAGAGAGAGAGAGAAGGGGGGGAGAGGTAGAAGTATAGAAAGAGGTAGAAGATGAGAGAATGAATATATTTTTTCAGGCACTGTGCCAACGTGAAGCAGGTGTAGAGATAAACAAAACTCTTACCATCTGCCTGAACACTGTTGGTTAACCTTCCATCAGTAAATGCCATGGAAGATGTATCCTTAAAAGTGGTCATAACTCTTAAATAAGTGTTGGTTGTACAGAAACACTGCGAGATTTAACCCCGAATCTAATATTCGCCCTCATTTCTCTCTTTCCTGCTTTTCTGTCCTTTTGGCTGCCGACACCTCGCAAGTTACAGTCACTCTCTCCCTGTACGTCTCATCAACAATAACCTACCTATAGAGTCATCTGCTAGCTGCAACAACCCTCAGGCATTATTTGCATTTCTCTAATATCTTACTGCAACACAGCCAGAGGGAGGAGTATCCTTGGTGAATGCTCCCAGGTATCTGAATGACACATGCATACGTAACACTTGCTAAAATCCACCACACAGAATACTCGTATACTCATTACAACTCATCGTCAGACATAACTTGTATCTGCATTAACTCGGATACAGCTCATGTGATAGATATCTGCAGGGCGCTTACCTTCCTACAAATGATATAGGCCCAGGGGTCGACGATCTGGTTGACGGAGGTAAGTCTAACAGCCACTAGGTCATGGAAGTGTTCTTGCCTCGTCTTGTGGGGCCACAACTGGTTGGCGAACAACCGAATCTACATGGAAGGACAGGAAAGACATCAGGAGGATATGAGGCAAGAGTAAGGGACAAGGGAGAAGCAGGGTAAGAGGGATATAGGCGAAAAAAAATGGCTGTGGGAAACAGAAAGAGAAAGGTCTGAATGGTACTGGGAATAGTGAATTGCATGTGAAAAGTGCAAAAGAAAGGGACAGTGATAAAAAATGCAAGTGAAGGCAATATCATTGATTTTTTATGAAAAGAACGACCACTCACATCAATGGGCGACCAAGAGAGTACGAAGACGACGGTGATGACGACAAGGACGACCACCATCTGCATCTCCAGTTCTCTCTGTCTGCTAGAGCGGCGGGGTATGCAGAGGCTGTGGCTGCCACAGCGGCCTCGACACAATCGCAGACTCAGTAGAGTGGCTGTGAAGAGTAAAAGGGCATTAGGCCATACTATATCTATGAAGATTACTTGAAAGAGATGCCCACTGTCTTTGAGCACATAAAACATACTTGCAGATATGTCAGTCTGATTCAAGAGATAACCATTTACATTATGCTTCTGATAAAACACCAATGATTATGGTAACTTGGCAGCATGATGTTATCAATGGAGTTTGAACTAAAAATAAAGAGTTTTCAAACTTAGCGACGATGCTAATATCCAGGACGAAAAATATTGCTCTGCAGTGACTATGAAGAATCATGTGATGAATCTTGTAAGTAGTCAAGACGCTTACACCATTAAGGAGCATCTTGTGTCTTCTCAACAGTCAACGCTGCAAATCTTTACATGAAACTCAAGATTTTTCTCAACTTCAGCATACAAAATTTTCTTTTGTCTCTTCCCCCACCTCATCTCTGGCATCTGTACCACAGATGGCTGTGCATTTCTCGCCTCAACTGCTAATATTATATTTTAAAGGGTGGACCGGTAAGTCAGGTAAAGGTCAGATGACCAAAAGCCCCAGTGTTTCCTGACTCAGTCCCGCGTCAGGAAACACTTGCCTTGTTTTCTGACGAATCTTACCTAACCTCTTATTGCCCACATCTAGTCTGACTGGACCGTTTCAGGAAAGCCATTAATACCGGAGTTATGTACAAGGAAAATGTTCTCAATGTCCCCTATTTAGATCAAATTTGAGCAAAACCAGAAAATTCTTATTATACTACAAGCCGGGCAGCCATCATCAGGTTCAATCTGGCTGTTCTCTTCCCAAGGATATTATACCACCAGCAATTATTTATTTCACGAATGACACTCATTTGTAAGCAGGATATTACAACATAAATAAATCAGAGAAATAAAAAAAAATAACAAAATGGAAGTTATAAGTTTTCTTTTTTCCCCTACGTGCATGTTGCTTAATATTTAATAACAATAAAACACATTGTTACTAGACTAAGGGCCCTGAAACTGCACTCTCTAGAAAGACGTAGAATTAGGGGGGATATGATTGAGGTGTATAAATGGAAGACAGGAATAAATAAAGGGGATGTAAATAGTGTGCTGAAAATATCTAGCCTAGACAGGACTCGCAGCAATGGTTTTAAGTTGGAAAAATTCAGATTCAGGAAGGATATAGGAAAGTACTGGTTTGGTAATAGAGTTGTGGATGAGTGGAACAAACTCCCAAGTACCGTTATAGAGGCCAGAACGTTGTGTAGCTTTAAAAATAGGTTGGATAAATACATGAGTAGATGTGGGTGGGTGTGAGTTAGACCTGATAGCTTGTGCTAACAGGTCGGTTGCCGTGTTCCTCCCTTAAGTCAATGTGACCTGACCTGACTAGGTTGGGTGCATTGGCTTAAGCCGGTAGGAGACTTGGACCTGCCTCGCATGGGCCAGTAGGCCTTCTGCAGTGTTCCTTCGTTCTTATGTTCTTATGTTCTTAATTATTCATGTACCAGAATAATTGTTCTGAGAGAGAATTATTAGAATTTAGAGATAATTAGTTTCCAGAGTTCTATGCCAGACAAACTCGAGTTGTATGCCATACAAACCGCAATTATATGCCAGACAAACTGGAGTTGTATGCCATACAACCTGCACTTATATACCAGACAAACCAGAGTTGTATGCCAAACAAACTAAATTCCCCTGTGTGTAATCCCGTACATACCAAGACAGTGGCCTTGACTCCCTCTGTCAGGGGCTTTCTCCATCAAGGCGACTGCGTGACGAACATTCACGTCATTAGGAATTTTATTACGATCAGTGCATATAAAATTGGCATACTGTATATGTTATACATAAATGGTCAGGAAGGAAACTAAATGAATTTCTCACAGGTGATAACAACAGTTACCTTAGTAAATATACTTAACGTGTGGTTACTTTACAGTCAGTTTTTTTATTACCACACCACAGATTATTCCAATGAAGATTATCACAGTACAGATTATCACAGTACAGATTATCACAGTACAGACTATCACAGTACAGACTATCACAGTACAGACTATCACAGTACAGACTATCACAGTACAGATTATCACAGTACAGACTATCACAGTACAGACTATCACAGTACAGATTATCACAGTACAGATTATCACAGTACAGATTATCACAGTACAGACTATCACAGTACAGATTATCACAGTACAGACTATCACAGTACAGACTATCACAGTACAGATTATCACAGTACAGACTATCACAGTACAGACTATCACAGTACAGATTATCACAGTACAGATTATCACAGTACAGATTATCACAGTACAGAGTATTACACTGCAGATTATCACAGTACAGATTATCACAGTACAGATTATCACAGTACAGACTATCACAGTACAGACTATCACAGTACAGATTATCACAGTACAGATTATCACAGTACAGATTATCACAGTACAGACTATCACAGTACAGATATCACAGTACAGACTATCACAGTACAGACTATCACAGTACAGATTATCACAGTACAGACTATCACAGTACAGACTATCACAGTACAGATTATCACAGTACAGATTATCACAGTACAGATTATCACAGTACAGAGTATTACACTGCAGATTATCACAGTACAGATTATCACAGTACAGATTATCACAGTACAGACTATCACAGTACAGACTATCACAGTACAGATTATCACAGTACAGATTATCACAGTACAGATTATCACAGTACAGATTATCACAGTACGGATTATCACAGTACAGAGTATTACACTGCAGATTATCACAGTACAGATTATCACTGTACAGATTATCACAGTACAGATTATCACAGTACAGACTATCACAGTACAGACTATCACAGTACAGATTATCACAGTACAGATTATCACAGTACAGATTATCACAGTACATATTATCACAGTACAGATTATCACAGTACAGATTATCACAGTACAGATTATCACAGTACAGATTATCACAGTACAGACTATCACAGTACAGATTATCACAGTACAGACTATCACAGTACAGACTATCACTGTACAGATTATCACAGTACAGATTATCACAGTACAGATTATCACAGTACAGACTATCACAGTACAGACTATCACAGTACAGATTATCACAGTACAGATTATCACAGTACATATTATCACAGTACAGATTATCACAGTACAGATTATCACAGTACAGATTATCACAGTACAGATTATCACAGTACAGATTATCACAGTACAGACTATCACAGTACAGATTATCACAGTACAGATTATCACAGTACAGATTATCACAGTACATATTATCACATTACAGATTATCACAGTACAGACTATCACAGTACATATTATCACAGTACAGATTATCACAGTACAGATTATCACAGTACAGATTATCACAGTAGAGATTATCACAGTAGAGATTATCACAGTACAGATTATCACAGTACAGAGTATTACTGCAGATTATCACAGTACAGATTATCACAGTACATATTATCACATTACAGATTATCACAGTACAGATTATCACAGTACATATTATCACAGTACAGATTATCACAGTACAGATTATCACAGTACAGATTATCACAGTACAGAGTATTACTGCAGATTATCACAGTACAGATTATCACAGTACAGATTATCACAGTACATATTATCACAGTACAGATTATCACAGTACAGATTATCACAGTACAGATTATCACAGTACAGAGTATTACTGCAGATTATCACAGTACAGATTATCACAGTACATATTATCACAGTACAGATTATCACAGTACAGATTATCACAGTACAGATTATCACAGTACAGAGTATTACACTGCAGATTATCACAGTACAGATTATCACAGTACAGATTATCACAGTACAGATTATCACAGTACAGATTATCACAGTACAGATTATCACAGTACAGATTATCACAGTACAGATTATCACAGTACAGAGTATTACACTGCAGATTATCACAGTACAGATTATCACAGTACAGATTATCACAGTACAGATTATCACAGTACAGATTATCACAGTACAGATTATCACAGTACAGACTATCACAGTACAGATTATTACAGTACAGATTATCACAGTACAGATTATCACAGTACAGATTATCACAGTACAGATTATCACAGTACAGAGTATCACAGTACAGATTATCACAGTACAGACTATCACAGTACAGATTATCACAGTACAGATTATCACAGTACAGATTATCACAGTACAGATTATCACAGTACAGATTATCACAGTACAGAGTATTACACTGCAGATTATCACAGTACAGACTATCACAGTACAGATTATCACAGTACAGATTATCACAGTACAGATTATCACAGTACAGATTATCACAGTACAGAGTATTACACTGCAGATTATCACAGTACAGACTATCATAGTACAAATTATCACAGTACAGATTATCACAGTACAGATTATCACAGTACAGATTATCACAGTACAGATTATCACAGTACAGAGTATCACAGTACAGATTATCACAGTACAGACTATCACAGTACAGATTATCACAGTACAGATTATCACAGTACAGATTATCACAGTACAGATTATCACAGTACAGATTATCACAGTACAGAGTATTACACTGCAGATTATCACAGTACAGACTATCACAGTACAGATTATCACAGTACAGATTATCACATTACAGATTATCACAATACAGATTATCACAGTACAGAGTATTACACTGCAGATTATCACAGTACAGATTATCACAGTACAGATTATCACAGTACAGATTATCACAGTACAGATTATCACAGTACAGATTATCACAGTACAGACTATCACAGTACAGATTATCACAGTACAGATTATCACAGTACAGATTATCACAGTACAAATTACTTCACGTCACTTGAGAAACAATTTCGGAGTACTGGGAATCTGCTAAAAGATTCAGCTGGTTACTTAATGGCATTAGTGGGGTTATTATAGAATTGACTAAGCACTTTCATAATGCTATCGTGTTAAGAGGGCGACACAGCTAGGTACAATGCAAATGGGGAATGATATAGCTGAAATTATACATTTATGAATGAGAGAGAGAGAGAGAGAGAGAGAGGAATACGACATAATGCCGGTACGTAGGTAAACCTGTTACTCACTTATGACGACGACGTTGCAGACAACCATAACGATGAGGCTGATGAGGGTGAAGACACCGAACACATTGGTGTAGAGTCGATGAATGAGAGGAGAGTCACTGGTGATGTGGATGTTGACATAGCACCAGGAACCAGGGTACTGCAGTGCGTACTGGCCAACGCCGAAGAGCGGCAGCGCGCAGAACATCACAGAGAACAGCCACATGCATAACAGTAACATCCTAAAGAAAGACGTAAAAGCAATAAAAGCACAGATAATAGAGTCAGTTGCTTCGGTATGTTAGTGGTAAAATCTCACTCATTGATGACAGGTAAGAACATGTTCCAAAACAATAGCAAACTGGCGATCTTTGTAATGCAGAAGCAGCCACATGGGGAGGGGAATCTCATGGGCTGCCTTGTTTCAGAGAATTTCCCCTCCTATCCGTTGCTGTCTTGGAACGTTGCAAGCTCCTGACGACGCACGAGAGTGTGAAAGATCTAGAGCTATATATTTCCCCCCACATGTGGCTTGTTCTACACTGTAAGAACATACGTTACTAAGGATCCCAAAAGGGGTACCTTCAAGAGGTTGTCTAATTTTTTTTTCCTTCTTACTCCAACTTTTCTATTTTATTTTGCTCATAACTCAGGAACGCCTCATCCGATCGGCTTTAGAGTTTCATCACTTGTGTACAATAACAAGGACAATATTCTTGGAACAACTGGCATGTTCACGTGCCTTATGACAAAAGTTGTTGAACACATTCCCAGCATCCTGGAATGACTAGGATAATTTCCAAACTCTTCAGTGGCGGACCTTCAAACGTTCAAAAAAGGTGCCAGAAATACGACGACGACAGAGAGTAAAATTCAGCTCTATGAACCAGGTGAGTCGTTCTCTAGTTATGGCACAGACTCCAAAGATTACATTTTATTTTTTACTATTTTATTGCATCAACACCTTTGTCTACACTCAAACGAAATATAATAGGTATTATCCTGGCTCTAAGATACACCAACCATTAAATATTGACGTCGTTTAGAAGACGTTAGCTGGAAATTATTTAACGTGATTTAGCTGGAATAAAACTTCCACACGATCACATTTTTAGTGCAGCAACAGATCGTCAGATCTGCTGTTACTCACCTGGTCCCTAGGGCTTACTTTGCTTGCTGTATAGTAGTGGTGTCGCTGACGTGATCTCTCCTATTACTCACTACAACTTATCTAGCTGGCTGTGTTAACGGTGGTCACTGTGCGTGGGCTGACGATCACATTACTCACAGACTCCTAGTATGATTGCATTCTTGAGATATTAGTCTGGGACGGAACGCAAGGTGGAGATGGGCAAGGAAATCAGTACCTAGTCACTTCAAAGGAAATCTTTGTACGCACTTACAAAGCCAATGGCGTAATTCTACAGAAATCACAATGGAAGGTAAAAAAATATCATTGGCCATATCGATGTTAAGATATTGAAGATGAGCCAAGGAATAGGTTCGCTGTCTGTGTCTGCTCCTGCAACATCCACGATGTGAAGAAAAACACACTTGCAAGACAAAACTTCCAGAACCACGTTTGCTTGAGTAGGTCGAACGATTATACTCAGTGAATATTATTGTCACAGATTTGCTTAGGAACGTTGGAGAACATCACAGTTGCTAGTAGACTGTTGAAGAACATCACAGTTGCTAGTAGACTGTTGAAGAACATCACAGTTGCTAGTAGACGTTGAAGAACATCACAGTTGCTAGTAGACTGATTGAAGAACATCACAGTTGCTAGTAGACTGTTGAAGAACATCACAGTTGCTAGTAGACTGTTGAAGAACATCACAGTTGCTAGTAGACTGTTGAAGAACATCGCAGTTGCTAGTAGACTGTTGAAGAACATCACAGTTGCTAGTAGACTGTTGAAGAACACAGTTGCTAGTAGACTGTTGGAGAACATCACAGTTGCTAGTAGACTGTTGAAGAACATCACAGTTGCTAGTAGACTGTTGAAGAACATCACAGTTGCTAGTAGACTGTTGAAGAACATCGCAGTTGCTAGTAGACTGTTGAAGAACATCACAGTTGCTAGTAGACTGTTGAAGAACATCACAGTTGCTAGTAGACTGTTGAAGAACATCGCAGTTGCTAGTAGACTGTTGAAGAACATCGCAGTTGCTAGTAGACTGTTGAAGAACATCACAGTTGCTAGTAGACTGTTGAAGAACACAGTTGCTAGTAGACTGTTGGAGAACATCACAGTTGCTAGTAGACTGTTGAAGAACATCGCAGTTGCTAGTAGACTGTTGAAGAACATCGCAGTTGCTAGTAGACTGTTGAAGAACATCGCAGTTGCTAGTAGACTGTTGAAGAACACAGTTGCTAGTAGACTGGTGGAGAACATCACAGTTGCTAGTAGACTGTTGGAGAACATCACAGTTGCTAGTAGACTGTTGGAGAACATCACAGTTGCTATTAGACTGTTGAACATCACAATTGCTAGTAGACTGTTGAAGAACATCACAGTTGCTAGTAGACTGTTGAAGAACATCGCAGTTGCTAGTAGACTGTTGGAGAACATCACAGTTGCTAGTAGACTGTTGGAGAACATCACAGTTGCTAGTAGACTGTTGGAGAACATCACAGTTGCTAGTAGACTGTTGGAGAACATCACAGTTGCTAGTAGACTGTTGGAGAACATCACAGTTGCTAGTAGACTGTTGAAGAACACAGTTGCTAGTAGACTGTTGGAGAACATCACAGTTGCTAGTAGACTGTTGGAGAACATCACAATTGCTATTAGACTGTTGAACATCACAATTGCTAGTAGACTGTTGAAGAACATCACAGTTGCTAGTAGACAGTTGAAGAATATCATACGAAGATGGTTTTTATCTATTAAAATTACAGGTAGGCATTTTACTGTGATGGTGAAGAAATGGGGGTAAGTTATATTTCTGTGAAATTTGTAACTTTGTAGCTACAACTATACTAAGTAAGGCGGGATTAACATGGCAACTGAAGTCGGAAACTCGCGAAAAAAGTGCAAATTCAATGTTAAAGGTCATTTGTGTTTACTGCAGGACCTCAGCTGATGTTCAGTGTGTTTGTTCCCTCAGACCCTCAGGTGTAACCTCCAGGTGATACTCGTGATAACCTCCGGTGATAACCTCCAGTGATAACCTCGCCAGGATACTCCAGGTGTAACTCAGTTTCTCGCCTAGTGAGTGTTGGGTGTGGTGTTTGTATGTTTGATATGTACTGTTGTGGTTTGGATGTGTGGAGAGGTGACTTGTAAGCTGCTAGGTGACTGGATGACGGTGCTGAGTGATGGAGACAACGTGTACAGACCTGTATTTGTGGACCGGTGGTACAACTGTCAGCCTGTGATTTAATGAACCTAGTATTCGACAGTGTCACAATAAAGTATTTCTTCCTATTTTCGAGAACCCTTTATAACTTTCGCCAGTTTTCAGAATAAATAAATTTCCGAACAGTTTATCCGTTATTGCACACTAGACTTACACCCGTAACCACCACTGCGTTAATTGCAACGTACTGAAACTTACCGCCGTAATACCCCCACTGCAGTTATTGCAAGTACAGAACTTACCCCGTAACCCACCACTGCAGTTATTGCAACGTACAGAATACCGTAACCCACCACTGCAGTTATTGCAACGTACAGAACTCACCCCGTAACCCACCACTGCAGTTATTTGCAACGTACAAATCCCCCGTAAAACCAACACTGCAGTTATTGCCGAAAATTCAAACCACCTAACCACCACTGCAGTTTATTGCAACGTACAGAACTTACCCCGTAACCCACCACTGCAGTTATTGCAACGTACAGAACTCACCCCGTAACCCACCACTGCAGTTATTGCAACGTACAGAACTCACCCCGTAACCCACCACTGCAGTTATTGCAACGTACAGAACTCACCCCGTAACCCACCACTGCAGTTATTGCAACGTACAGAACTCACCCCGTAACCCACCACTGCAGTTATTGCAACGTACAGAACTTACCCCGTAACCCACCACTGCAGTTATTGCAACGTACAGAACTTACCCCGTAACCCACCACTGCAGTTATTGATTTGTGTATATAAATATGGGAAAATGAAAATATAGCCTAACGAGAAGGTGGATAAAAAAACAATATATATTTGCATCACAATTATTTTCCTGAGAGTATTAAGAGGACAATTATGTACACCGAAAATTGATTTAGGAAAATGAACACATTTGCAAAATTTGATGTTTCATTTTTTCCTAGGTTAAGTTCGCTTGATGAAACTTCCGGTGAGAGAAACTTAGCCTGGGTGACCTTTGTGGCCTCATGTAACACCTTTGTGGCCTCATGTAACACCTTTGTGGCCTCATGTAACACCTTTGTGGCCTCATGTAACACCTTTGTGGCCTCATGTAACACCTTTGTGGCCTCATGTAACACCTTGTGTAACACCCCAATATCTTTCACATACACTGAAAGGTGATGTCTCTCGTGCACATACACTGAGAAGTATATACCTCTCAGTGTGCATACACAGAGGCATACATCTCTCAGTGTACCTACACGAGCTAAGAAGTGGTTTAAATTATTTTTCCGGTTGATGATGATGTTGTCCCATGAATTTCATCCATTCATTAACAAATTATCAAAATTTCATATCAAACTTTCTCTCTAAACTGAAGGTATTAAAGTATTTTTGACCAGTGAACAAGTTACGAGCGTCTATCATGATCCTCGTGTGGTCGCTAGGCCACTATCTGCTTTTTTTTTTTTTTTTTTTAGATATCCTTCCTCCCTGTCATTCATTCTCGAGTCCACACATGGCTGTCTCTCCCTTCTCTTCTCTTCCCTCTTTTTCGTTCATTGTTCTAATTCCCCATCTTGTATCTCTTCCATCTCTTCTCTATGTTTGCCATCCTCACTTCTTTACTCTTCCCTCGCCTTTGTCTTCAACAGTAAACTAGTGGAGTCTTCGTCTCCACACAGGTGAAGACAGATTAATGAGGCACTCGCTCAGGAGGCGAGTGCTCGTTCTACCCTCCAAAAAACTGTTAAGGATTTAAGCGAATGAAGACAGCGGTGTGACTTACAGTGTTCGGTTGTCACGCTACGCTGACGGAATGCTACATACGTCTATGGCTGCTGTGGATGGCTCTTCTACCCAGCTGCTGGCTGCGTATGACGAATAAAGAGCAATACGGAACAATGAAAAAAAAATTAGTTTGCACGCACGGATAAACGAATACAATAAGGTCATGAAGAGGCGGAGAAACAAGAGACACGGGGAAAGAGAAGGTGTTAAGCGAGCTTCAGTACGCAACATTGGGAGACACAATACAGGCCGTACATGCAACACAATCAAAATAATTACGTTCCCTCCAATACTTAAAGTGTTTCCAGTGTTGAATAGTTCTGGTGCACACCGGGTACGTCGCAGGTGTGTGGCAGGTATGTAGCAGATATGTTTCTGATGTTGAGACTGGGTTACTTACTTAGTTCTGGAGGTGGTGATGTTCTTATTGTAGAAGTATCCGTGACGGATACCCAGGAACCTCTCTAGTGCCATAGTGGACACCAGCAGGTGGGTCACCAGGCTCACCAGCATCATGGAGAACCCGTGAAGGTTACACAGTGGCACCTGTGTAGACACACCATTATCCGTCGTGAGTGTGACACCAAGGCACGGAAGGGAGAGGGAGGAAGGGACGGAGGAAAAAAGGAAAAGAGGGAGGAAGGGAGAGATGAAAAGAGGGGGTGAGAGAGGAAGGAAGAAAATGTCTGGAAGATCATGCATTCAAGTGTTACAATTACTGGATAAATTAAGTGTTTGTTATACAAATGCTTAATTACGAATAGGTAATTACATACGTACCTCCATCCACCACCCAATACTCTCCTCATACCTCTTCATCCCCCATATCTACACCCCATGATTTCGTATACACCTACACTCAAGCAAATTCCTCCACACCCCCTGACACCCACATCCACACCATTTATACTCCTCACATAAATCCTCTTAAACCTCCAGTACCACACCAATATACCATTTACACCTCCAACCGCACCGCATAATCCCCACATACCACACTCCTTACACCTCCCACACACCCATACACACACACACACACACACACACACACACACACACGCACACACATACACACAAACACACACAACAACACACACACACACACACACACACACACACACACACACACACACACACACACACACACACACACACACACACACACAGCCTCACCCCATCCACACCATGGACCTCCCACACACAGTAGACAAGACTGACCCCTCCTGCCCAGGTGTTGTGGAGGTAGGCTACGAGAGCGGGGGTGGTGGTGATGACTTTGCCAGCCAGGTCAGTCCAGATCAGTGTACTCAGCAAGATGAAGAACACTGTGCGGGAGTGCTGAGGACGCGTACTCGTGTACAGGTAGTACAGTGCCCAGATCTGACCTGTGGGGAGGGAAAAAATCGTTAGTGTGTGGGAGAGGTGTGGGCGGGGAAGAGGTGTGGGCGGGGAGAGGTGTGGGCGGAGGAGAGGTGTGGGTATGGGAGAGATCTGGAAAATAAGAATATACAGATGGAGTGTATACAGCACACAGCAGGTACGCGAGTGTACGCACACGGTACGTACACAAGTAGATGAATGTGCACAGTGAGACACAAAATCTGCACATAACACACATATAAGTACACACACACATATAGTATATGTACAACAGAGAGAAGATTTCACACATGAAGACACCCAATGTATACACAAAATCGATAGATGAATGCACAGACGTACAGTGTGTGTACACGGCTGGTAGAAGAGTGTACACACGAAAATGATAAATTCTTCACCTGCCTAACCTTCAGGAATGACATGAATTATGCTAAGGTCATATCAGCCTGCAAAGAAGGGCCAGGGAGTGGAAGGGAAGAGCAGATGGGTGCAGATGGAGACGGAGATAGGTCGAATGCTGAGGCACAACCATGCTACCAAGAGCCACTGGAAAAATCAAGGGAGAAAATGACCACATACAGACAGGAACCAGAGTCACAGAGGGAGAGGCAATGGGAGAAGGAAAGGGCAAAATCAGTGATTATCCATGGGCTTCGGGAGAGAGAGAGGAAAGGACACACACTGAAAGACGGCAGAAAGAAAGAAAGGAGATTGAGAAAATCATCACGGAAATAGGGGGAGAAGACATGGATGAGATTGTAAATTTTCAGAGAATAGGGGGGTACTTGAAGGGGAGAAACCGACCGATCAAGCCGATTCTCAGGACAGAAACAGTGCGGAACAGGATCCTCCAAGAGAAACCACGGTTGAAAAGCTCGGAAGAGTACAAGAAGGTGTTCCTAGACAGAGACAGAACACAAACAGAGAGACGGCAGCTGAGGGAGAGGACAAAAAAGCGAAAGGAGCTAGGAAAGGAGACAAGGATGGAACCAGCAGAGGTCAGTCAGAGCAGAACAGAGCAGCAAGGGCAAGCACACACACAACTATCCTCAGAACCCCACAACCTATCACACCATCCCAACACACAATACAATCCATACCCACAGCTTCCACCCAACCCCCAACCATAGAATCCCACAGTATGCTACCAGGTCTCCCACCCCCACAGGCCCCCCCAAACCACAGTGTAGAAAAGGAAACTGAAGGTATGGTACACAAACGCTGATGGAATAACAAACAAGTGGGAGGAGTGGCACGAAAGAGTCAAAGAGGCATCACCAGACATCATAGCGATCACAGAAACCAAGCTTACAGGTATGATAACAGATGCCATCTTTCCAGTGGGATACCAGATCCTGAGAAAAGACAGAAGGAAAAGGGGGGGGGGGGAGGAGTGGCTTTGCTTTTTCAAACACCGATGGAATTTTGTTTTGAGTGGGGGAGGGGAAGCCCAAGCGGGAAAAAGGGTGATTACATAGGGGGAAACCCGTTTTCATTCTGGTGGCCCCAAGGTGATAATTGCAGGATGTATAACCCCCCACAGAACGGGCAGGAGGCCAAGGCGAGTATGACGAGGCAATAGAGGATGGTTGCCCCATTGCCTGCGGGTGGCGGAAGGGGTCATGCATGCAGGGAAAAGCCCCTGATATGGGCGATTTTAACCACAAGGAGATCGAAGGGGAGAATTGGGGCCACAGGGGGGCCAAGTTACATGGGGGCTAAAATGGGGGGGGGGGTTTACGGGAAAAAATTCCCATGTACAACATTTAAGGGACCCTAAAAGGGAGAGAGGGGAGGATAAACCCAAAGCAAGACGGGGATTTAGTATTAAACTTAAAGTAGTGCAGTTTATTGAGGCCCATCACAAAATAAAAGACCCTTGGGGCCAGGTTTCATGTGGTTTTGAGCTTTCAATACACAGTAGGCAAACAAGGGGGGGGGGGGGAAAAGCAGGAAAGGCCCGGGGCAAATAAAAACCAAACTACGGGGAAAAGGGGACTACCAGGAATGGGGGGAAAATTTCCCCTGTTGGGTTCAGTGGGACAGAGAAACTGGCAGGGAACCCAGTTAATGAAAATGATGGAAAAATGTAGCAACAAATGTGAAGGGAGGCTGGGAAAGGTTTGTCCCCGGGGGGAAACGGGGGATAAGGGAAAAAACCGGATGAGCCCAGGGTTTCCCACCCAAAGATGAAAAGGAGGGAAAAAAAACCCAATTTTGGGGTTTTGGGAAATTTGGGAAAAAATTTTAGAAGGAAAAAGGACCCAGGAGAATAAGGGGCAGTTCGTGAGCCAGAAAGGGAATATGCACGTAAGAAGGGGGGGCCCCCAACGCCCAATATAAAAAAGGGACATGAGCAAAAGCCAAATCGGGCCCCGAAGGTTATCCCAGCCCCCACGGGAAAGAAAAAAACCCGTCAAGGACCAGGTAATCAGGCAAAGGGAAGGAAGGAGGAGGCCCAACAAGAAAGGAAAAGTAAAAGTATGGGGGGGGAAACTCAACAAGAGATTAAAAGGGAATGTGTTTCAAAAGAGGAGACAGAAGGGCTCCAGAAAGGAGGGAGAGGGGGGGGTTACCCACCATGTGCGGGGCCCCACGTAAAAACAATGGGAAAAAGTGAAGAGGCTTCTGAGTGAGCTAGATACCTCAAAGGCATGGGGCCAGATAACATTTTCCTTCCTTGGGTCCGGGAGAGAGGGAGAGAGGCGTATGTGTACCCCTAACAACAATATTTTAATACTTAAACGAAAAGGGGGGATTGCCCGAGGCAGGAAGACAGGGAAATGTGGTCCCAATCTTTAAAAAAAGGAAAGGGGAAGGGCATTCCCGCACTAAAAATAAGACCGTTTTTTCACTGAAGGGAAGCATGCAAGGGGTCATGGGGGAAAAAATTGTCAGGAGAGAGTGGTGGAAATCTAGGAAAAAAAAATGATCATTACCCGCAGGCCCCAAAATTTGGGTTTTAGAGACGGGAAATCCTGTGTTTACAAACCTACTGGATTTTTTTGGGCATGGTGAAGCAGTTTAAGGGAAAAAAAGGAGAGGGGGGGTGGGTGGGTTGCATTTTTTTTGGGACTGTAAAAAGGCGTTTGGCACAGTACCAACGAGATTTTGTGCAAAAAATGGAGGACCCCGAGGGGGTAAAAGGGAAGGGACTGCAAAGGGTTTAGGGGAAAAAATTGTCAGGAAGACAGCAGCGAGTAAAGGTACTGGCGGGTTTTCGGAAATGGGGGAAACCCGTGACCAAGGGGGGTCCCAGGGGTCAGTTTCCCAGGGGCCAGGGGCTGTTTTTGGTTTTTTGTGAACGCATGACGGGGAAAAAATAAACTCGAGGTTTTCCCTGTTTGAGAGGGCGTGAAGTTGATGAGAAGAGTTCATTCGATCGAAGGCCCGGCAGAAATACAAAAGGGGTTTTGGACAGGCTGAGACCTTTTCAGCAACTGGCTCCCGGAAATTCAATCCCCCCCAAGTGCAAAAACAGGAGGATTGGGGGAATGGCAAAGAAGACCGGGAGACGGGGAGTACAGTCTAGGGGGCCAGGACTACAAAACATCAACTCAAGGAAAAAGATCTTGGGGTGAGTTTAAAAACCCGGCACATCTCCTGAAGGCCATCAACCAAATAACTGCCGCAGCTATGGGGCCTTTGGGAAACCCCGAAAACCCTTCCGGGGCTTTTTAATAAGGAATCGGTTTTTAGGACCCGGACAAACCCTGTTTTCGTTTTTGGCCTATTGCAGTATGCGCACCCGTTTTTGGGGAAAACCCCACCTTAGCCCAAACATGTTTAAAAAAACTAGAGAAAAAGTGCAAAGGTTTGCAAAGGACTAGTCCCGAGTTAAAAAGAATGGGGCCCCGGGGGAAAAGGGGTTAAAGGGGAAATTTAATCTGACGACATGGAGGACAGGAAGGGTAGGGGGGGGCATGATTTCAAGGGTTTCAAAATAATGAGAGGAAATTTACAAGGGGACAAAAACAGGGGTTTCCCGAGACTGGGCCCCAAACAACACGGGGACAAAAGTTTGGGAAATGAAGAAAATCAAAGAATCAAAGGGTTTTTAAAGGAAATATTTCTTCAGCCCAGAGTAGTCAGGAAGTGGAAAAAGTTTTTGGGGAAACGATGTGTGGAGGCCCGGATCCCTACTGCTTTAAGCCGAGGTACGATAAAAGCTCATGGTTTTAGGGAGAGTGACCCAGTAGGCGACCAAATGAAGGGCGGGGGGCCCGGAGCTTGGAATCGCCCCTTTCAAACCCCAAATTTGGTGGGGTCCAAAAGGTGGTACAACACAACACACATACAATACACACAACCCCAAAACACACACACCACACACCTTTTGGGGAGGGTTTTAGCTTTAGAATTAGAGAAAATTTTCCTCTTTTAAAACCATTCCTTAAAAACCCCAGACGAAGGGAGAGATAGGGCAATTTTTTGAAGAGGAACGACTAAAAAATTATTGGCCCGGTCCCTAAAAAATTTCCAGGGGTAGGGGAGGCCCGGGGGGGGGTGGGGGGGTTATTCTGGGGATCCCAGGAATTTGGTTATGGGGGAGGACTCCTTTATGACCCCCGGGGTAGGTTACCGGGTTTGGGTTGATTTCTACTCCAAGATGGTTGCAGGGGTAGGATCCAACCCCTTTGGCCCCCGGGAAAATCCTGATGAGGGAAACCCCCGGGGACCCCCCTGAGGGGGTAGCAAGATAGGGAGACCCATGGTTGCTCCCGGGTGGTAGGGGGGAAGGGGCGGTGCAGGAAAAACCCTTAGCCCCACATTTGCACCGTCAGCAGGGTTTTCTGTTTATGTCACTTTACACCACGCACACCCGCCCGGGGAAGTTGACCTCCTTTCCCCGGGCTTCTAGAGGGTTTTTTTTCGGCTTTTCCCCCTTTGGGAAGCCTGCATGTTTGGGGGGGGAGGAGGGAGGGGGGGTCACCCCCGCCCACACCCCCACCGCTCCCCCCCCGCCCCACCGCCCCACATGCGGGGGGAAAGACATTGGTGGAGG